ATTGCAAATCACAACGCACAAAATGAAAAAGAGAGCAAAAAGGAAAGTGCCTCTATGCTGGGGGTAGGGGGTTAGGGGTTGGAGGATGGTGGTGGAGAAAAGAGGGACACTGGTGGTGGTGGGAGGTGTGCTCTGGTGGAGGGATGGGTGCTGGATCATTGTATGACTGAAACCCAATTATAAACAGTTTTGTAATGGTCTATCTCATGGATATCCAATTAAAAAAATTTAAAAAATAAAAGTAATGTGCAGTCCATGCCCAGCTCAATCAGCTTAAACAATGGCTGAATAAACAGCAGTACCTCCACATTTTTTAAAAAAAAGGCATACATTTGGAAAATATTTAAAATAGGCAAGAATTGATTGTGTATTGCTTTCAAAGAAACACATTTTAAGTAAAATACAAATAGATTAAAGATAAAATATGTGGACACAACAAAATTAGAAAATTGGTTTCAAAGAGACAGACTTCAGAGCTAAGCACATCTGCTGGGGAAGAGATGGTCTGTACACAGTGACAGAGGACAAAGTTTCTGATGATCAAGTGGACACGATGCTAAATGTCTATGCAATACACAGATCATCAAAATATACAAAACAAAACGGAGCTGCAAGAAATTCTGTTCAGTCATAGTTAGAAATTCTAAAACATTCTCTCTAAAATAACAAGTCAATAAAAGTACAGAGACTAAAGCAATAGTACAGTGGGTAGGGTGCTTGCCATGCAACTAACCTGGGTTCAATCATGAGCACCCCATAGGGCCCCCTGAGTCCATCAGGAGTGATCCATAAGCACAGTCAGTTGTAGCCCAAAAGCATAAAAAAGGTGGAGGTACCAGAGAAACAACAGCGACCCTGACAATCACCGGGACACAGCCACGAGGCTCCTCAGAATGTGCACGGTGCAGAATCGGGCCTGTCTGAGCTTTGCGTCATGAAAGGCAGTTCTCCGGCCAAAGTTTAATGACTACGAAGCCAGTAACAGAAAGATCTCCGCAAAATTCTCAGCAATAAAATACACTTCTGAATAACCTTTGGGTACAAGGAAAATTCAATAAAAGGAAAATTAGAAAGTGCTTCGAACAAGATGAGAGTGGAACTACACGAACTATCAAAATTTGTGGGACTCAGCTACAGCAGCACTAAAACAGCACGTCAGAGAGAAAAGGACAACGAAACCCCTCCAGCACAGAAGCAGCCTGTCAGTGCAGTCACCCTAGGGATCCGCAGTATGAAGTAAGTGCCCACAGAGATGAGCGCTGTGGCCACCACAGGCACGAAGGCAGTCCTGAAAGCCCCTACATACAGGATCCCAGATGGGGAAAAATACTGAGAACGTGAGAGAAAATTAAACCTAAGTATTCAGGAGAAAGTAAAAATACATAGGTCAAAGCGGAGTTTCATGAAATGTAAAAGACAAATCACCGAGGGCCAGAGAGTCCATGCATCTCTTAAAGCACATGCCCTATATGTGACTGATCCTGGCTCAATCTCTGGAATTACATGTGGTCCCCTGAACATCACCAGTTATATTCCTGGAGGCCCTGGACCACCCCAGGGAATACCAAGCAGTACCCCATCCTTAGACCCTTGCACCAAATCCCTGGCAGGGTTGGCTGAGAGTAGCTGTGAGGCCCCCAATAATGGCGATGAAAGCATTTCAATGGAGCAAAACTCAAGAAATTGTTCCAACTCTAATTATGTAGGTTTACAAAACAGGGACACAAACCAAACTCTCACTAATAAAAAATCATAAAGAAGTCTATTTTTAAGTGAAATGTAAAATCTTTTCACAAGCCCCACATTCGGTTACTTGACCCCCACATGGAATCATGCACCCAAAAAATCTAAGAAGCTTGGTGACAGAGGTAGACGGAGGGCTGAGGCCATGGTCACAGGGAGAAGCCTGTCTACTGTAATTGGTGCAAATGGTTGTCCTGGCCTAAAAAATAACGAATGCAGGGAGGCACTGGCAGACAATTCTGCAAGAGTGCGAGACACTCTGAGGCACTCTCAGGCACTCTGCACGGCCCACACTCCCATCTGCAGGGCAGACGGGGCAAAGGGCAGTAGGTGCCTTTGCTGAATTTGCAAAAGGATGAGGTGACATTTCTTGGTCCAAAGCCATGGAAAAAGTATGTCAGTGTCCTGTGCTGGCCACCCTCCCCATGACACACACCCGGTTCTCTGCACTGAATTCCCTGGAAGGGGAACCTCTAGGGGACGAGGTGCCCTGGGTACAGAGTCCCAGGCAGGGCCAGCAACTCTCCTGAGGAACATTCCAACAGAACTAGAGGTCCGGTAAAGTGCCTACAGGCTCGGGAAGGAAAGTCCTCCCTGGAAGTCTGCAGAAGAACCAGCACCTTCTGGGGTGCTCTGTGGCCCTTAAGCCCACCACCAGGTCTCAGCTTCCCAGGCCATTCCAAGTCCACCCTTTCAAGCGCCATGTCCAAACTCACAGCTGACTCGAGCCGACAGCTCATACAGCTTGTCGCCAGCCCTCCTGGTCCCCCTGGTGGACAGTGGGAGTCAGGTCACCGAGTGAGGGGCACTGTCCACCTGAGATGTGGCCAGCATTCCCTTTGGGGAACAGAGTGTGCTGGCCTCCACCACTGGATCCCATGGCCTGGTAAGCCCTACTGCCCGCACTCTGTCGGGCTGACTCAGCCCAGCGAGTGCCAGCAGCATAGTGGAGGGGAGGCCGTGTCCCTGCTGACCACGAGCTCTTGGCTGCAGAGCCAGGGTGTGACGCCTGCCTCTGGCTCTGGGACCTGTGCTCACGCCTGAGGCTGAGGTGACTCTGGCAGCACCCGGGGTGCCAGCCCACTCAAGGGTGCCCCCCCTCCCACCCAGCACAGTCTTCACCCATCCTCCGCAAGCACGCCCCCTGCCTTCACTGCAGAGACCAGCACCTCCACTGCCACCACTTCCTGATACTCAACAGTCAACTGCAGGTGGGCCCAGGAAGTCACTTCCAATGCATCTTCCCAGAAACCCTCGTGACCAGGTGAAGGTCCCCAGATGGTTCTCACGTGCCCCTTCGGCCCTGGTCCCACACACCCCACCCTTCAGGAACAGCCATGGGATCCAGCCCGCAGCTTGGGGCCTGGGGTCAACCCTGCCCAAGCAGGACGCGGTGTGGGTAAGGTCCCTGTAGAGCCCTGAGCAGCGTCCAGGGTGGTGCCCTTCACAGACCCTCTCCCAAACACCCATTCCTGCCCTCAGCACCAGCCCCTGGTGCTCCCCAGCTGAGACCATGCCTCCGGGAGACCAAGGACAGGGACGCTCTCCCCTGCACCAAGCAGCTGATGACTAGGGCAGCCAGAGCACCCCATGAGTCCACACCCACCCTGGGCCCCGCAACCTGCATGAGCACGGGAGGAGGCAGGAGGCAGGAGCCTCTGCTGGCTGGAATCCGGAATCCAGACTCCAAACCCAGGCCTGAGTCACGGCCCCTGCAGGTCAGGGTCTCTCCAGCCAGGCCTGGCTGGGGGACACACAGATCATCAGAGCAGAGCAGCTAACATGCAGATTCCAGAAATGAAAGAGGCAAGTGCACAGCATAGCAAGGGGGCCGGCAGAGGGCTAGGGAGTCTGGAGACACAGGTATGACCTGAAGGGGATTCTGGGGTGGTCACATGGTTCTGACCATGAAAAACGCCAGACACTGGCCCCATCTATGCGGGCGAGTCATGCAGAGCACATCAGCAAGTCAGCTGTAGAAAATTAGCTGAGATACTACCTAGCAAGCTCATGTGTGTGTATGCGTATACACACACACACACACACACAGAGGATGCACACTCAGAGATGACATCACAGTCTCTCGTTCACCCAAAATAACAAAGAAGAACCCCAAATAACAATGAAGAATCCTTCGCGATCCCATCTGCCGCCTGCTCTGACCACAGGAACCCAGGTAGCCAACCTGACCCTCCCAGGCCAGTGCGACCAGAGGGACAGCAACTGCCTGTGTGCCCGCGATCTGGGGGGTGGTCACGGCCTCACTCTCCCTGTCAACAGGGGGTGGGGGTCTGCCCATGTCTCTCCTTCCCCGAGACCAACAACCTCAGTGCTCGCTTCGCTGGGGCCTGAGGAACTGCAGCGGGGCTGCTGGCTCTGGGCAAATGAAGAGCTGAAAGGAGCCCTGTGTGCTGACAGGCCTGTGTGGAGGGAGTGGCCCTGCTCACCACGTGGACGGCCCAGTTGCTATGGACAGAGTCTGGGAGGGGGACCCTGGAAAGGGGGGCTCAGGCATCCCCGCTGCTAAGTAGAAGTGGCCTCGCACTTCTACTTCTAATAAGTAGAGGGTCTTACTTATTGCTCGTAGGGTCAACCTCGCTGTGCTTTGGGCTCACTCCCGGCTCTGTGCTCAGGGCTCACTCCGGGCTCTGTGCTTGGGGGTTACTCCTGGCTCTGGGCTCAGGGCTCACTCCTGACGCTGTGCTCGGGGCTCATTCCTAGCTCTGTGCTTAGGGGTTACTCCTGGCTCTGGGCTCAGGGCTCATGCCTGGCCCTGGACTCAGGACTCAGGGCTCACTCCTGACGCTGTTCTCGGGGCTCACTCCTGGCTCTGTGCTTGGGGCTCACTCCCAGCTCTGTGCTCGGGGTTCACTCCTGGCTGTGCCTGGGGACTGAACTTGGGCCAGTCACAGGCAAGTCAGAGCCTTACCTGCTGTCCTAACTCTCTAACCCTGTGTCAGAACTTTTATAAATATTCCCTGCAAATTTGTTTAAAAAAGAAATTAAGCACCTGGGCCATCCCCACAGACCTACTGAAAACTAGGTGGGGGGTGGGAAGCGTTTTCAGGAGTTCCCGAGCCCCTGGGAGCCCTGCGCCCCTCTGGAGCACCTTCATGAATAGGACTCAGCAGGACACAGCACCCAGCTGCCTGGTCTCCTGCACAGCCCCACCCAGCCCGCTCCAGCCCCACCAGTCTTTGAAGCCCAGAGATGCCCCTGCCACCCACTCCCAAGGATGCAGAAAGGGCTCAGCTTGCCTGCGCGGCCCAGAGGTAGTCTAGCCGGAGCTTGATGTCCACCTGCCGGGCATGGAGGGCCAGGGCGCAGGAGAATAGCAGGATGGCCATGATGGGCTCCGAGCTGTGTCCAGACACGGTGCCACTGCTGAGGAGGACAAGGGAGACTAAGTCAGCGCCGAGGCTCAGTGACCAGCACAGACCCTCCTCAGAGCCCGGACATGGGCACACGGCTCCCCAGTCCCAGGCAACTCCTGTGTCCGACTGCAGACACCTACCGCACGGCTTCTGAGTAGCCACTGAGCTCCAGGACCAGGATGTAGGATGCCGTGAGCACAGCCAGCAGGATCAGCTTCGGTAGGGAGGACACACGCAAAAACACGGCCAGGGGCAGAGTGCCCACCTGGCCGCAGAGCAGGGCGTGGGGCACAGCATCACCGGGTGGGGTGCCGGGCGTCAGGACCACCAGTGATGCGTTGGGGCGGGTGCTCCAGGCCCAGGGCAGGCAGCCCACCTGGGGGGCAGGGCAGGGCAGGGCAGGGCATGGCACGGCCGTCAGAGCTCAGCCAGCCCAACACCATAGCAGCACTGGCCGCTGCCCAAACCCGCACCCCACAGTCTACTTCTCCCACACCCACCTCCCAAATCCACTTCCTGTACCCACTTCCTGTACCCACTTCCCGCACCCCTTCCTAAGCCCACCTCCCACTGCCCACTCCCCGCAGCAGACCCCACAGGCCCCCCTGTCAGTGTCCACAACCAAAGCTCTTCATTGCCAGGGAGGCAAGTTCAGGCTGGGCCAGGGCACAAGTCCCGTCCCCGCCAAGAGAACCAGCCACTGAGTGACTCCTGCCTCCCTGCTGCCCCTCCTCCCTGCCCCTCCTCCCCACCTCCCTGCTCCTCTTTCCTGCCTCTCCGCTGCTCCTCCCCCCTCCCCCCTGCTCCTCCCCCCTCCCTGCTGTTCCTCGGAACCAGCCCTACTCTTCCTACACTAGGAAGTCTCAGATCCTGTTTCCTCCAGTCCCAGCGTGTCCCTCCACGACTCCTGCATGCTCAGGCCTCATCTCTGACACCCACGAGCCTCCCCTGCCCCCCCAGCTTCTCAGGCTGCTGTCACGGGGCTCCCACCCCCAGCCCCAGCAGAGTTGAGACGCTCACCACACAGCCTTGGGCCACGGAGTAGATCAAGACCACGATGAAGATGCACAGGACGGTGCGGATCTGGATCGTCAGGCAGCCTGGAAAACACTGAGCAGCCAAGAGTCATTTCCCCAAAGTGCACCAGGAAGTCGGTTCATGAGACAGAAAGCAATCCAGCACAAGCACCCGAGCGCTGGGGCCCCTGCATGGCCCCCCACAGGCACCCCTGCTCACTGCACACACCCGATCTCACACGTGCGCCTTGGACCATATATGTGTTGTTGGTTCTCTTGAAAGTTAATGTCCTTGCAAGGAACGGCCATTCCTCCTCCGTGCGCACCCTGACCTGGCTCAGTACTGAAACAGTCTCAGGACACTAATTATCTTGGCGTCTTCAAAATACCGAGTTCATCTGACTCACGAATTATTTCTTCACTTAGTTTCTTATACGTTTGAACTGAGCTTAATTATTTTCCTCACAAAGGTAAATAATACTATAAACATGTGTTTCCAATATATCATGTAGTAATAAATTAGATGGATTGGAGCGATAGCACAACGGGTAGGGCATTTGCCTTGTACGCAGTCGACCCGGGTTCGATTCTTCCACCCCTCTCGGTGAGCCCGGCAAGCTACCGAGAGGATCTCACCTGCATGGCAAAGCCTGGCAAGCTCCCCGTGACGTATTCGATATGCCAGGAACAGTAACAACAAATCTCACAATTTGTTGTGAGATGTTACTGGTTCCCGCTCCAGCAAATCGATGGACAACAGGAGGACAGTGCTACAGTGCTAGTCTTAGAAACTGGTCAACTCTAATTTTTTTTTAAATCATACTGATTTAACATCTGTCAACAACCCTTTTTTGGTTTGTTTGTTTGTTTGTTTGGGGGCCACACCTGGCTGTGCTCAGGGCTTTCTCCTGTCTTGCTGCACTCAGAGAGCACTCCTGGTGGGCTCGGGGATCATATGGGGTGCCAGGTATAGAACCTGGGTCTGCCACATGCAAGGCCAAGTGCCCTCCCTGCTGTGCTGTTGCTCCAGCCCCTAACTCTAACTTCTTTTTAACACATTCAGCGATACCTAACAAACATTTTCGCCAAGTGAGCTCTCCTCAGTCAGACTCATATTCCGAGTATCAAGAGTGAACCCTTCAGTTGCAGGACAGGGCTGGGCGCTGTGTGGCCACAGCCCAGCTGAGCAAGGCCCCCGTCCACACTCAGTTTGCTGCTGTCCACCCCCTACCAGCTCACTCATGGCCAGGACAGGGCCCAGAGCAGTGTCCACGGCCACAGTGGGCCCTGCATCCAGCACAGTCGTCTTCCACCAGGCACTGGCAGAGCTGTGCCGCGGGGGCTGGTCCCCAACACCGCCTATGCCACAACCTGCAACGGTTCCCTCCCGGGCTGACCCGCAGTGCCTGGGATGGCCACAGGTTAGCTTCCTGTGGTGTCCCCGGTGAGGCAGGGCGTGCAGCTCCTGGGTGGCCCGGTGGGATCCCTGGGGTGCAGCCCTGGAGCTGGGAACCAGGAGGAAATGGTACAAAGGTCTCCCGTGTCACCCGCCATGCTGAGCTGCAGACCCCGGGGAGAAGCTCACACCCACCCCGCCTGGTGAATGTTCCCTGATTGGCTGCACCACACGGGGCGAGCAGGTGCTTCAAATGCGGATTCATCTGTTGGTAAGTTCCTGATCTGGGCTTCTCCGGGTGAGCTAGGGCTTGCTACCCAGGCCACGGAAACGACCGCCCCACCTCGTTGGCAGAAGCCCACAAGGATCTAGGTCTCACCTCACTGATGTTACACCCACCCCAGTACCCAGTCCAGGCCCCAGAAAGCCTCTTTTTCTCCTGAGGCTGCTGACCGCCCCCCACCCCCCGAGAATTCCTTTTCCCCGTCCTGCCAGTACCAGTCACCTTCCCAATCTTTCCTCAGGACCTAGTGCTCAGGAGCCACTGGAGTCCTGGCTAGCCTGGGACATTCGCCTATGACCTTCCAGGGCTAGAAGAAAACAGAGGGGCCAGAGCAACAGGACAAGCAGCGGGGGTGCTTGCCCGAGTTTGACCCCCACCATCCCACGTGCTCCCTGAGCACTGTGAGGAGTGGCCCCGAGAGCAGAGCAGGAGTGACCCCTGCCAGTGTGGACCAATCGACCCCTGGAGAAAGCAGTCAGTCACTGCAGGGCTGAGCAGAGGGAAGGCGTCCTTGTGCCCTCCTGGGCCTTCCCAGGCCCCTGGCTGTGGTGAGGGTCTATATCTGCCCAGGGGTGGGGCCAGCCGGCAGCCCCCGGTTCCTGTTTTCCCAACTTCCCCTGCACCTCCCCTCCCCGCTACATGCCCCTGGGGCCAGGCCACTGTCTAAGCAGGAGTTTCCGGGTCCACTGCTGCATGGGCCCGGACAGCTGGTCTGTGGTTGGGCTCAGCTCCTCTGCGTGGAGGCACCAAACTGCCACATGATCCTCCTGGCATGACTCACGGAACAAACCACAAAGCTGGGCTTCGTGCAACACCCACCAGACAGGTGCCAGCGCCATATCGAAGTGGGCTTGGACCAAGACCCCAGAGCACGGGCTCAGGCACCCTGGACCTCACTTCAACACACACTCTCTGTCCCAGCTAGACCTGGGGGAGAGATGAAGTATCCGGTCTGGAGCACAGGGGTGTCTGCCTGACGTGTGCCCACCCCCACAGAGGCCGGCCCTGAAGACCAGCCTCAGGAAATGTTCCAGACGCCCTAAAAAAGGCACCCACTCCCCATCTTACTTGCAGAGAGGAGACTAGAGGTGTGGCTGCAAACCAATCCCTGGGCAGCGGCCAGTGGTTTGGACAGTGAGGGCCAGAAAGAGGCAGATCAGAAGATCAGGCACAAAGGAAAAGTGCCAAGAGGAATATGGCAAGTGTGGCCAAGTGGATGAAAACTGTGAACATGGTTGGCCCATGTGAGTGTCAGCCAAATGGTGACCTCAGCAGAGGGGGACCTAAGGTCAACTGGATGGAACACCAGTCACCCTCTGTCCACAGCCACCACTGCCACTGTCCCGTTGGCCCATGGCCCAAACGCCCACGGTGGTGGTGAAGGAGGCGCGTGGGGCTTCCAGTTCCCCAAAGTGAGCTAGGACAGACTGCCGAGCACCCAGCCTGCCGCAGTATACACCAACACTGAGCCCCAAGTCTAGAATCTTCTAATGGGCATGCAAGGAAGGGACTTCTGGCAACGGCACTGACCGTGGTCAAGCGGATGCAGTACACAGCCACAAGGTGTCACCCTTACTAGCCACATCATGCCTCAGCAGCAGGTGGATCACACTAGAACACGTCCTCAGAGAGCAAGTCTTGCCTTCTCACTGCAGGCTCCCCCAGGAACTGTCTGGGTGGACAGTATCTCTCACACTTCGTCAATGGGCACACGCCTAGTTAGCTCTGCCTCGGGTCCACCACTTTGAGGCAGCACACAGTGACGCTCGAGCGTACAGCATCAGTCTGGCTCTGCAGGACCAGGGGACAATGGTGGGGGGCACTGGACACAGGAGTGGGCATGGGCAGGAGCTCTGAAGCCCTGAAACCTTGGCGCCGGTAACACACACAACCATGTCTGAGGCCTTGGGGGAAAGGGAATAAAATCCACTGGGTCCAGGACTAATTCTCCATGCTGCATGATGGCAGAAGTGCCGGGCTGTCCCTCCCCAGCTGCCCGCCCACTCGTCGGCCTGGCTGTCACATCCACAGTGTGCCTCCGGGTGCCATCTTAGCGCACCTGGTCTAGAGACGCCTAATTGAATCCCAAAATGGATTAGTGCCCTACAGAAATGTCTCTGGAACCCAACCATTTACAATCTAAGATTCCAGAAGCACGCGGCCACAGCATCCATGATATTCAAAATGAGCAGTGGACAATGAATGATCTACTGCCCCTGGCAGGCAGGCTTGAATGTTGGTGGGGAAAATTCGAGCAAAACATAATGCCCAAAAGTAGAGAGTGAGTATTGGGGAAATTGCCTGCCATGGAGGCAGGGTGAGGACTGGGGTGGGGGGAGGGATATACTAGGGACATTGGTGGTGGAAAGTGTGCACTGGTGGAGGGATGGGTGCTCAATCATTGTACGGCTGAATGTCGAACATGAAAGCTCTGCACTGTATCTCACAGTGATTCAATTAAAAAAAAAGTAATGTGGACTTCATGCCCAAATCAAACAACTTAATCAATGGCTGAATAAATAGCAGTATTCCTACATTAACGGTAGTACTGTCCTCCCGTTGTTCATCGATTTGCTCGAGCAGGCCCAGTAACGTCTCCATTGTGAGAGTTGTTATTGTGTTTGGCATATTGAATACAACTCGGGTAGCTTGCCAGGCTTTGCTGTGCAGGCGAGATACTCTCGGTAGCTTGCTGAGCTTTCCAAGAGAAGTGGAGAAATAGAACCCAGCTTGGCCAACTGGCCGTGCGCAAGGCAAACGCCCTACAGCTGTGCTATCGCTCCAGCCCTCCTACATTAATTTAAAAAAAAAAATTAAAGTGTCTTGAAAATGGGGAGTAAAAAAAAAATCCACTTCCACTGGGGCAGGGGGGAAGTACAGAGAGCAGGACTTTCTCTGCATGTGGCTGACCCCAGAGGGTCCCCTGAGCCCTGCCACAAGTGATCCCTGAGCATAAAGTCAGGTGTGAGCCCTGAGCACTGCTGGGTGTCACCTTTCATCCATTCATTCATTCATCATCCTGTTATTCGTCAATTGCCTCGAGCAGGCCCCAGTAACATCTCTTTCATCCTAGCCCTGAGATTATATTCAAGGCTCTTTAGGAGAATGAGACCCATCATTGTTACTGGTATTTGGCATATTGGGTACGCCACGGGGAGTTTGCCAGACTCTGCCCTGTGGGCAGGCTACATTCGATAGCCTGCAAGTTTGTCCAAAGTAGGAATGAGATAATAAGATGTCATAAAAAGATGTCCTGACACCTTAAGTTAATTAAACGAATCGGGTTTGGTTTCCCTGGCTGGTGACAAAAGGGAAGGGGACGGGGTCGAGAGGACACAGCAGGCCCTGGCCAGTGGAGTGGAAGTCACAGGCAAGGCTGGAGAGGAGTTCACAGAGCAGGGCTCAGGCAGGGGCCGCTCTCCACCACGACCCGAGAGCTGCTTCTTCACACGCTGCTCACCGCTGCCCTGCATGGGGCCACCCTGGCCATGCCTGCTGCGACCTTCCCCCGTGACCATTTCTCAGCCCAGCAGAAAACAGAGACAGACACTGGACCTCAGCTGCCCACCCGCCCCGAACACACATCCAACACGCGTTTCCTCTGTCTGTGCGCGAACACGTCCCAGAGCCACCGCTCAGCTCATTCCCGACACACCAGTGTGAGAAAGCGCATGGGACCCATCCCTCACCAACCGCCCAACCGCCAGCCAGTGGCCAGCTTCCAGGCTTCCAGAAGTTCCTGGGACCCCTCCTCCAAATGCAGTCGCTTCAACCTCCCTGCAGCTGTTCGCGAGCTTCTGCCCAGAAGGTTTTATAGCTCAAATGTTTCCGGGACACCCTCCTCAGGCTCTGTTAATTTTCTAGAACTGCTTGGAGAACTCCAGTAACTCACAGATCACTGGCTTATTACAAAAGACTTTGTCTTGGAACAGCCAGACCCAAGAGCTGCATGGGCTGGGGCAGGTATGGGAGGCAGGTGTGGGGCATTCGTGCCCTCCCAGGCACTGTCACCCTCCACATCCACGCGCCCATGACCTGGAAGCACCATCGCCCCACTTGTGGGTCTGAGGAGTCTGTGCTACGGGCGAGGCCTGAACTCAACGGGCCCCGTCGTCAACCCGTGTGCTGTGGGGAGGTCAGAGGTCAGAACTTGGTCGGTTCCACTGGACCCAGGCCCCTCGGGTGCCTCCTGAGAAGCATCACACTCTCATCAAGTTAGGAACTGTGAACCAGCACAGATACGTACAGAAAACATCTGGTCACCTGATCACCAACACGTTCTCCTTATAAACCCCAGGTGCCTTGAGGAGAGCAAGGAGAAACCGGGAGAAGGAAGCCTATGCCGAGCCCCAACCACCTCCTCTCCCCTGCCTGGGACTTTCCAACCCACCAGGCCAGAAGATCAGTCCCACCAGGAACTTCCTCCCCGCAGAGGAAGCAGATACCCTGTGTGATCTGCCTCCGAGGGCTCAGGCTGGCAGAGCCTCGGGGACTTCGGGGGAGAGGCTCTGGAAAGTGTCCTCCGTAGGCTGGCCTGGGAAGGGGACACAGCTGGGCTGCGGGCACCTGCCAACCAGCAGACGTTGCAGCCCTAAGCGCTCCCTGTCTCGGTACTTCCTGGCATGGAAGCCGATGAACTCACATTACCACTGAAAGTTACTGGAGCTGCCAACCAGAGACTTTTGAAAGAATCAAATCACATTCCTAGAGAGGGAAGGAGAGAGGGCCTGGTCGTGTCTGCTGATGGAGCTGTGACTGGCCGGACACTGAGGTAACAGCAGCTGGAAAGACTGTCCTGATGCTGGGAAGGGGTACCTCAGGGGCTGCAGTGAGCCTGCCAGGGGGTCAGAGGATCAGGCAGAGACCACTGGCCTGCCTTGTTCGATTGCTGATCTGGGTAATGTGACACTGAGGTATGAACAGCCGTATAAACCTCAGCAAGATGAGCCTGAAGAAGCATGAGAAATTGTTGCGATCGAGGGCGCTCACTCGGGAACTGCGAAGACGCCCTGTTGCAAGCTGTGGCCAGTCGGGCATGGGCCCTGAGTGTTGACTGTTGGAGCCCGCTCACAGCTGCTGGCTGTCCAGACAGCGACAAACGTCCCCGGCACTGTGACTTCGCAGCCACGCGGCCCTGGAAACAGGATCCACACAGCAGCAGCAGCTCGATGGAATGAAAGACCCCAACACGGCGGAGCAAGGGCCTGCATCCTGCAAAGGCAGGGCCAGAGAGCGCCTGGCATTGGGACGCAGCTCAAGAGACCGAGAGACAAAGTGCGCAGGAGAAGGGGAACTCCACTGTGCCTCAGTGTAACCTCGGAGTCAAAGGATCTCCCTTCGAAGGTAAGTACTTTAAGGCCCCACTCGGTGGCACAGTGGGAGGGCGCCAGCACACAGCCAACCCAGCTTCCATCCCCCGCACCCGCCATGGAGTGATTCCTGAGTGCAGAGCCAGGAGTAACCCCTGGGCATCGCCAGGTGTGGCCCAAAACCCTCCCCGCAAAAGGAAGTGCTTCGAGCAACTTATCTGCAGTGTGAACTTTAAAGTGTATCACACCCAATGTCACCTGGTCTACGGAAGACAAAGAGCTGAGGGTGGTGTGAACCCAGAATGTGCCATTCTCTTCAAAACAAACCACGTCGCCAATGAAAAAAGAAGGAAGCCAAGTGAATAAACCAGATTTGATTGTTTGAAGAGCAGCTGTTTGCAACACCATGCACAGATGACGGGATGTGACTAGACGTCACAAGGGGGTGGTGGCGGTGAAGGAAGGGGAAAGAAGGGAATGTTGGCTTGGGGACAGGCCCTTTCCTGTGATCAGGGCACGCTGAGCCCAGCCACGGCGACAGGCACCACAAGCCAGTCAGAGCAGAATGCTCCGCATGGACCCCCATTCTGGATAGGAAAGCACCAGAGCCATGGCTCTCCTGCCCCGAAGCAACACTCCGGCAGCCTGGTGCTGAGTCCCCACTGGCCACCCCACCCCATGTCCATCAGGCAAAGGCCTCAAACCTCCAGCACAAAAAGAAAAAGTTATTTCAACTGGCCAGAGAATCAGAGGCCGAATCACCTCAGCTGCCAGCCTGGATGCTGAAGGGAGGCAGATACCACACACACTGCTCCCTCAGACACCACACTGCTGCTCCCTCCCTCAGACACCACACACTCTACTCCCTCAGACACCACACACACTGCTTCCTCAGACACCGCACACACAACTCCCTCGAACACCACATATACTTCTCCCTCACATGCTACACACACACTGCTCCTTCAGATCCATACACACGGCTCCCTCCCTCAGACACCACACACACTGTTCCCTCAGACACCACACACACACTGCTCCTTCAGATCCATACACACGGCTCCCTCCCTCAGACACCACACACACTGCTCCCTCAGACACCATACACACACTGCTCCCTCAGACACCACATACACAATGCTCCTTCAGACACACACACACACACACACACACACACACACACACTGCCCCCTTAGGCACCATACACACTGCTCCCTCAGACCACACACACTGCTCCTCAGACGCCACACACAAATACACACTGCTCCCTCAGACACCACACACACTGCTCCCTCAGATACCACACACTCACTGCTCCCTCAGACACCAGCACGCACTGCTCCCTCAGACACCACACACACTGCTCTCTACCTCAGACACCACCCACACAGCTCCCTCAGACACTAGCACACACTGTCCCCACAGACATCACACACGCGCTGTCCCCACAGTCCACATACACGCTGCATTGGTAGACACCACGCACACTGCTCCCTCAGACACCACACATGCTGCTCCCTCAGACAACACACACGCTGCTCCCTTAGACACCACCCATATACGCACTGCACCAGCAGACACCACGTAAGCCGCACTGGAAGACCCTGCATGCTGTTCTGGCAGGGATATCACATAGGCGCACGTACCTGGACTTGGGTGACCTGCAGGTACAAGACACAGGCCAGCAGGAAGCAGATGCTGAACACCAGAAGGAGCAGGAGGGCCAGGTTCCTGTGACAGAAGACACATGTCACCAGGACAAAGACTGGGCTAGCATGCCTGCCAGGCCCCCAGGAACCCGCCCTCACCCACCTCCTGTTACCAACCCCGCAGCTCTCAGCCGCCCAGCCTAGGAACTCCCCATCCTGGTTCTCTTGGCAGGGGTGGGGAGTGGCAGTGTCCCTCCTGTGTCCAACCCCTTCCACCTTTCCCTGCAGGATCTTCCTACCTCACAGCTTCTGGTATGGCCGCCTCAGAAAGGAAGGACTGATTTATGGGGGCATGGCCCCTGACCGGTCCTCCTCCTGGGCTTTGTCTAGGGAGAAGCTTTACTGGAAAAGGTCCACTTCCACCTCAGGCTTACCCAGGGCACTGCAGGGTCCGGACGGGGCAGTCCACCGTCTGCATTTGCTCACGGGATAGCCAGTTCACTTGGGGGCTTTAGAATGTGGAGATTTTTCTCAGCTGTTCTTTGCCAAAAAACAAACACTGGCGCTTTTACTTATGATGAATGAATGCTGCTAAAATCACTGCTAAAATCTTCCTTTCCAGAGGTTACTTTTTCTCATTTTCCGTTTCTAAAACTACGATTCAGCCAATAACCAATGTGCCCACTTGGAGGCGCTGTTGGTCTTCTCCCTCAGAAACCAGTCAGTCAGTCACTGGCAGGTGCATGTGAACATTATCCTGAGCATCAGAGCAGAGAGCCAGTCCCACACGGACGCCAAAGGCGGGCACGGCCAGTTACCAGTGAATGCAGGAGTGTCTCACAATTAGGGGCTTCTAAAATTTTAGGGGACAACAGGTAATTAATCTCTGCAAACAAATCTGGACATCAAGAGTCCCTAGGGTTTTGCGGAAAAACTTCATCCACAGCAGGCGAGAAGCCGACGGAACCAGCCCTTCTAGAAAATAATATGAACCTTCTCAAGAAAGTTGGAACTAAACTTCCAAATGACCCGGTAATTCTGCTTCCTGGGCCCCAAATAAGTATTCAGAGCGGACATATGCCCTCCTGCGTCCCCACAGCCACGCTGGAAACAGTCCAGTGCCCGAGAACAGAGGTGGGAATAAAGAAAGCAGGTCCGTGCACACTGAACCCTGCTCGGTTCGGAGAGGGATGAGATCTACTACACCGTGGACAGGACCATGAAACAGTCCCGGATGTCCACAGACGCCCCGCCAAGAGGAGTTGGCGACAGTTGGGGAGAGGCAGACACAGTGACCACTTGCAGGTGAGAAGAAGAAGAAGCAGATGACGGGAGTAACCAATACCTGAAGGCCACAGAGAACAGACCCTGAGAACTGCCCTACAGAGCTAAGCTCAGGTCTGGGGGGGCAGAAGTGGAGGTGTTGGGGGCATCTGAGGGAGATACGGTGTGTGATGTGAGATCAGTGTCCCCAGAAGAGCCCTGCCAGCACAGCGCTGCAAATCACAGCACTCTATAGGTATGTATGTATGTATGCATGAATGCATGCATGCATACATCCACCCTGGGACGCACTTACTGCGGGATCACGAGAAGGTAGATGAGGCCAAACAAAACAGCTAGAATCAGGGCAAGCACGACCGCACTGGTGAAGTACTCATCCTGGAGCTGGTGGTACTGTGGACACAGAGACACAGTCAGTGACGTGTCTCCAGCACCCATGCAGAGTCTGCCCCTGGGTGCAGCAACGCTCACAGCCCAGGCCAGAGAGGTCAGGAAAAGAGCCAGCACTGCCGGTCACCTACCTTCCGCTCACGCTCGGCCTGCTTGTACTTGAGTGTGAAGAAGTTCAGGTCGGCGATCTCCAGCTCCGTCTGGCGGGCTTCCAGGAGGCGGCTGATGTACCGATTGACACGGGTGCCCGGGGTGGTGTAGACAACATTGGTGGAGAAAGATGAGCGGTTTCGGAGTTTCTCTGAGGTTGTTCTCAATGCCCTGCGCTGCGGCCGCCACAGAGAGAAAGGGATAGGGTCAGAGTCTCCTCAGAGAGAAAGGGGGACAGGGAAGAGTCTCCAGAGGGAGAGAGAGAAAGAGAGAGAGAGAGAGAGAGAGAGAGAGAGAGAGAGAGAGAGAAGAGGGCAGAGGGCAGAGTCTCCACAGAGAGGGGGAACAGGGACAGAGTCTTCTCTCTCCGCATCCCACCCTGCACCCCTCTCCCCCGCCTCTGAATGTCTGACAGCTGACAGGGAGCCCCAGCGACTGTTCTTGTCTGTAGGTGGGTCCCTGGTACCCGTGTGGTGTAGCCGTGAAATGTGCCATGGAGCATTAGCAATGAAACAAACTGTTCCTCTAAAAATATAATCCAGTGGGCAAATCTCCAGGACACAGAGCAAAGAGAAAGCCAGAGTGTCCCGACAAATCCAGGAGAAAAGGTAAGCTAAGTGCCAGAGCACTACCACGATCCACAGGAGAATCCCACAGCTTCCATGGAGATCAGGGACTCTCCTCACACACAGACAGCCCTGGGCACTGAAGCACTGGAATCCCTCACTTCAGAATTCCTGAGGACGCTGCTGTGAGGCGCAGATCGTCTGAGTGCTCAGCAACTCACCAGGAACGAACAGCAGCTGGGCAGACGCAGTTAGGACAGAGGGCAGGGCGTTGCCTTGTCAGCTGCCGACCCAGACTCGATTCCCGGCATCTCATATTGTCCCCCGAGCCCCACCAGGAATGATTCCTGAGTGCAGAGCCAGGAGTAACCCCTGAGCACTGCCAGGAGTGATTCCTGAGTGCAGAGCCAGGAATGACCCCCGAGCACCACCAGGTGTGACTCAAAATTGGAAACAAACAAAACGATGAAGAGCAATTCTGCGTCAGCTCTCCCAGAAAACAGAAGAGAACTCCCTGCTGATCTTCTGAGGTCAGTGTCACCCAAGCAACCGCTCCAGAAGAGAGCACGAGAGGTGGAGACGCTGAGCGCCCCCTACAGGCCTCCCTGGGAGCAGCCCCTGCAGGTGCCCCTGCCCTCCCGGGGGCCAAAGCAGGCGGGGACCATCCTGGGCACAAGCTGAGAGGATCCCATGGACATGGGGGAGCCCCCAGCCCAGGAACCCGATCTCGGCCGTGTCAGTGCCGGCCGGGCGCCACCCTCGGCTCTCCCTCTCACAGATCTCACCAACTTCCAACACAGCTCATTTTCGATTCACCAAAAACTTGCTTTTTCAAAGTACTGCTCTGACTTTTACCCACCAGAGCTCTGGGATTTGGGCCGGTGGCAAGTCAATCGCCAGAGCAGCATGCTGGGCCCAGCCTGGGCTGTGGTCCTGGGACCAGGCTGAAATCGGGGCAGCAAGGAGGAGGCAGAGCACAGGAACCAGGCTCTGCTGCCCTGCACACCCTGCTGACACACTCTGGGCACACACATGCAACATGTACACACAACACACACATACACACAAAATACACACATGCCCACAACATACACATTCGATATACACACACATACACATGTAACATATATATACACACATGCACACACAGCATATACTTGTACACGTAATACACAACCTATACATACAACATACACATGCACACACAACATATACACACATACACACACGTACACACAATACACATGCAACACATACACATGCACACACAACATATACATATAACATACATGCATGCACATGCAACATATACACACATGCACACATGTACACTATATACATACAATATACGCATGTACACAAAACATATACACCGAATATATATGCACACGCATACACACAACATATGTACAGAATATATACACATCTGCACACAACATATAAACAGAAACATACACACACAACAAATACACATATACACAACATATCCATACACAAAATATACACAAACACATCCATGCATACACACAACATATACACATACGCACACTCACACATGTACACAACATATACACATGCACATGTATACACACGCACACAAGATAGACACAGAATATACACTATCCACATGCACACACAACATATACACGCACTCAAACAACATATACATGCATTCACACAACATATACATGTGCGCACACACACACACACACACACACACACACTGCCACATACACTTTGAAATGCCAAGCTGAGCCATCCACAACATAAGATGAAAAATGATCACTGGGCAGAAAGATCGGAAGGCAGGAGCTGGCTGGGGATTCTTGGCTTGAATCGACTGATCCAAGTCCAGGATGTGTGGAAGCACAAAGCCAGCAAGAGGAAACAACAGGACAAGAAGGCAATTCTGGCAGAGGCGCCCAGCACCCTGCTCCGAGCAGGGGCTGCAGACCAGCTACCTTGTCGTCCCCACAGGTGGCGCTGGAGAAGGGGATCTCGGCCTTGAACATCTTCCGGCAGTGCATGAGCTGCACCAGCAGGTAGCAGACGGTCTTGAACTTCATCCTCTTGGCAGGCTTGATGTCGGAGAGGATCAGCCCTGGAAATATCTGTCCCAACCGGGGACAGGGACAAGCTGAGTGGACGCTCGGGGCTCGCTGAGGCCAGTCCAGACTCTGACAGGGAGAGGGCAGTCTTGGGGTCACCAGCTCCCAGCACCGGGCCGACTGGGAACTGCATCCACACCGGCTTCCAACCCCGAAGCCCAAAAGCACCCCAGGAGAAGCAGCCCCAGACAGGACACCCAGGCCCCAGGCAAGGCCTGACTCACGAGAGCCACCTACGACCCCGGCCCGGCCCTCCCTCAACTGCCCTCCAGGCCCCTCCAAGTCCGCCCAGATCCACTCCATGAAACGCCACCTGCCCTTCACCCCCCCACCCCCTCTCATCAGCTGGACCTTTCTACTCTCCCTCCCCTCCCCACAGCTTCTACACGACCCCTCGTTGGGGACCCCCAACTCTGCAGAGACGCTCACAGCTGTGCAGCCCCTGCTTCTTCGGGAGAGAGGGCAGCAGCTCAGACCCGCCCTATGCACCTGGAACCTCTCAGCCCTGCCACAGATTGGCCCTGTCCCAAGGCACACAGGGTCAGCTGCATCCAGGCCAGCCTGGCCCCATGGAGGCACCAGGACCGACACCCGCAACTTGAACCCACGCTCTTCCTCTGAGTCTTCCTCTCGGTGCCCTCATCTGGACCGACCTCATCCAGCACTGACCTCACCCCAACCTGACCCCCACCCCAACCTGACCCCCACCAGCCCTGACCCCCACCCAAACCTGACCCCCACCCAAACCTGACCCCCACCAGCCCTGACCCCCACCAGCGCTGACCCCACACCAGCCCGGACCCCCACCCAAACCCGACCCCCACCAGCCCTGACCATCACCAGCCTGGACTCTGCCCCTGTTAGGTGCTGGGGCTCCTCAGGCCAGGTCATGGCCCATCTGCTCAGCACCCTTCACCCTACAGGGGGCGCTCACACCACGCAGTGTCCCTAAGGGCCTGGGGGGCTCACACCAGGGCAGGGGCTGGCAGAGGGGAGAGGGAGGCCCCGCAGGGTGTCTGTAGGGAAGGTCGCCCCCAGGGCTGCGCCCACCTTTCTCCGGTGTGAAGGTACAATGAAGAAGGTCTCGATGTTGTGAGCTTTCAGGAAGCTGTTCCGCTCATGCCCGTGGCCCGGCTCCACCTCGTAGTCCCCGTTCAAGCACGCCAGGGTGGTCTTGGTGATGTGGACCTTCCTGCCAGGGACGAGCGAGCCTGAGCCAGGAGCAGAGCCAGGCACGGACACACCTCCACCTCACCCCAGCATCGCAGGGCCTGAACCTGCTCCCAGTGCTCCCGCAGGAAGGAAACTCCAGGGCTCCCACAGGAGGGTCCCCTGTGCTAGCCTTAATGAGCAATTGCAGCTGCCAACGTGGCAGTGGGTCCCAGATGCCGGAATGGCTGGTGGGGACAGTTTCGTTCTCAGTCCTCTCCTGGGTCCCCACAGGCACCAGAACAACATAACAGCAGAGGGGACGGTGAGGCGCCAGGCTGTGGGTGTCCCCGTGGGGTGGGGTCCCCATGACTGGAGGGGTCCCTACGGGTGTTGGTGTGGGGTCTCCATGAGTGTAGGGTCCCCACTGCTGATGGCAGCTCACTCAGAACCTTCTGCTTCAACGTAGAAGCACGCATCCAGAACACGGATCCGGGGCGGTGACAGCATCAAGCGGGGGCAGAGTGCAGTGGCTGGCAGGGGGACAGTGTGTCGGGGCATGCATGCAGCTGTGGTGGTCTGGGGGCTCTTTCTGTTTCCCTGCTGAGCCTGCCCCGACGGGAGCATGAGGACAGCAGGTGGGGGCAAGAGAGCCAGTGGCCATCCCTCGGGGGACACCAAGGCCACTGGTCGCCCCAAGTGCGTCTTTGAGCTCCCTGTGGGACACAGTGGCCTGCAGCCCTGCTCTCCTCTGCTGGGCCAGCCCTCACGCTGCTCAGATCCTGCTGAGGTGCCTGGGGGACAAGGTGGCTCTGCCACTGGCTGGCTAGGCCTTGGTGCTGAGAGAGGTATCCCTGCCCTTAAAGCCCTGCCCAGACCCGGCCTGAGAATGGGGAAGAGCCAGAGCGGCCTCAAGGGGGCAGCAGAGGTAGCCACCAGTGCCCAATAGAGCAGGTTTGCCTGGGGGTCCCAGGCAGAGGCCTGGATGGGGTGGGGGTGGGGGGGTACAGGGACAGGCTCTGGAGAGTTCAGCTGACCTGAAGAGTCTCTCCTGCAGGGCCGTCACACGAGACCCTCCCAGGGCAGGACCCTCGTGCCACCAGCGGCCCCCAGAGGGAGGGTGGGACACCCCAGGACTGTATGTGACGCCAGGAATCGGTCCCCAGTCGGTCACCTGTGGGCAGCGCCTCAGCCCCTGTCTGGCTCGGGCTGGGCTTCTCACAGAACATTCGCGTGGGTTTCTGGCTGGTCTGAAGGCAGCTGAGAACAGACTCAGCCGTGATGTGGGCAGAGCCGAGACACTCGGGCCAGAGAGCGACACAGCCCAGCTCAGAACCCAGGGCAGCACTTCCCACGAGCCGGCCGAGAGGAAAGAGCGACGGGCGCAGAGCCAGCACTGGGGCTGCCCTGGGGCCCACAGCAGGTTCAGGCCAGCCCCAGCTCCCTTGGGGGCCCCGCGACCCCTCCGTGGCCCCACTCACCCGGGAAGGCCGGCAGCTTCCATGACATTGGCCAGGGTGACATCATTGGACCACACATCATACTGCCACTTGCGCAGGCCCAGGACCCCGCAGAGCACGCGGCCCGTGTGCAGGCCCACACGCATGTTCAGGTCCACTTCCGTGGCCTCGGCCACAGACCTGCAACCAACACAGCACAGGGGTGGAGGGTCACGGGCACACATAGCACAGGCGTGGGGCCAGGCGCCAGCCTGATCCGGGGACTGTGAGCTGGGGGACGGGCTGCAGGGCACAAGCGCATACACACACACACACACACACACACACACACACACACACACCCTGGTATCTGTATGCTCGGGAGTAGGCTGTGGGGTGCGCGCACACACACAGGGTCAGAGGCCACTCAAGGTCCCCCATCTCCTGCTGGCAACTCACACAGTGTCCACACCCACTCCTGCCCCCCAGGACAGCCCCCAGGGAAGCGACACCAGCACCCGAGTCAGCTCTGTCCCTGTGATGACATCGGGGACACGTGTGCCCACTCATAAGGCAACAGGTAGTACCACTGGCCACCCCTGGAGAACACCGGCCGTCCGTCAGCTCCAGTGACTCGGCGCTGAGGCCAGGCCACAGGGACGAGTGAGTGTGGCATGAGATCAGTCATGGAGCTGAGTGATGGACACTAAGATCAGACTGCAGGGGTGAGTGCAGGGGGTGCTGAGACCAGCCTGCAGGGGCGAGTGAGGGGAGCCCTGCACGGGACTCCACTTCCGCAGCGTGTGGTATCCTGTGCCCCAGTGGGACTCTGCAGGCCGGTCCAGCCCAGGCCTAGCTGCACGAGAGGTTCTGTAGGCAGGACGGCAGGGCGGCCCCAGGCAAGGGTCCCAGGAGGGTAGGGGAGCCCTCAGGGGGATGGGCTTGTCTGCAGACAGAAGGAGCGGGAGGTGGCATATGGACACATGCTTCCCACGTAGTTGGTGCTGAAGCCCTGGGTGGGTTCCGGGGGGTTGTGGAAGGGCAGTGGGTGGCTCCCTATGCTCTGGAGACAGCGGCAAGAGTGAACGCGGATGGGAGAATCCAGGAAGCAGTCATTTGCTGAGGAGGGTCGGGCCAGTGGGCATCAGTCTCCCCAGGAAGACCCTGAGCAGGGCCATCTACCGCCAGTGGGCTCGCCTCCAAGGACTCGTGGCTTCTCTGAGCCCCGTGGCAGGCACAGGGAATGTGGCCACTATCCCTGCAGTGTCCCCAGGAGGCCACGGAGAATGGTCTGCGAGCTGCACTCAGACAGGACACGTGTGACTTTGCTGTGCGGTGATGCCATGCACGACACGCTGTGATCACAAATGACTGACACGTCATGGATCACGTATGATCAGACACATCACAAACTGCGTATGATCAGACACATCATGGATCGCGAACAAGTGAACACACCTTCTGGTGGGACTATACAGAGGTCATCAGATGTGACTAGTGGTGAATGGCCCAGGTGATGGACTCTGAGATGTGAGGACAGACACGCGTCACCGGCTATCTGACACACAGTACAGCAGGGAGGGTGCAAGCCGAGCATGAAGCTGACCCAGATTCAACCCCCAGCACCCCACAGGGTCCCCCAAGCCCACCAGGAGTGATTCCTGAGCACAAAGCTAGGAGTCAGCCCTGAGCACTTCCAGGTGTGGCCCCCAAACAACTATCTTTTTAAAAGATCGGTGACGTGGCCTGAGTGACATGTGCCATGATGAGTGGTGGCCCAACCGTGTCTATGCCGGACAGCATCTCCTCTTCTCCTGGGTCCCTCCAGCTCCCTACAGTGCTGTCAGCCAGGCCAGCATGGACCCTCCCGACCTTGCTCCTCCCCAATCCCCTAATGACCAACTGTCCTCTCCGGCTTCGTGCTGTGTTCTGCTTCCCTGTTGGACTGATTTTCACCTGTGGTCCTTCTGAAGCACCCTGGGGACCCTAGCAACACCTAGCCAGGAGTGAGATAGCCCCAAAGCGGGGAAACCCGGCAGTCACAGGAAGCCATCACGATCACGGGAAACCATGGCAGTCACAGGAAACCACGGCAGTCACGCGAGACCATCAAGGTCATGGGAAACCACAGCAGTCACGGGGAAACCATGGCAGTCATGAAAAACCATGGCAGTCACGGGAAAGCATCATGGTCATGGGAAACCACAGCAGTCACGGGGAAACCATCACAGTCACGAGAAACCACGACAGTCACAGGGAAACCACGGCAGTCACAGGAAACCATCATGGTCACAGGAAACCATGGCAGTCACAGGAAACCATCACAGTCATGGGAAACAATGAGAGTCACGGAAAACCACGGCACTCATGGGAAACCACCATGGTCACAGAACACCATGGCAGTCATGGGGAACCACAGCAGTCTCGAGGAACCATCATGGTCACAGGAAACCCTGGCAGTCATGGGAAACCACGGAAGTCACGGGAAATCACAAAAGTCATGGGAAACTATGGCAGTCGTGGGAAACCACAGAACTCACGGGAAACCACAGAAGTCACGGGAAACCACAGCAATCATGGGAAATCACAGCAGTAACAGGAAACCATCATGGTCATGGGGAAACCATGGCAGTCACAGGGAACCACAGCAGTCACGGGAAAACATCATGGTCACAGGAAACCATGGTAGTCACAGGAAACCACGGCAGTCATGGGAAACCAGGGCTGTCATGGGAAACCATGGCAGTCACAGGAAACCATGGTGTGCACCAGCAGCTACCCACCCCAGACCCACCCCCGCAGAATCAAGTTCTCCTGGACGTGCTGACAGGCGTTCGGTCCCTTGGGGCTGCTGCCTCTGCCCCTGCAGGGCTAGCCGAGCCATGGGCTCCAGCTCAGGGAGCGCCTTCTCCCCACGGCTGTCCCGGGGGCACTCGCTCGACCCCTTGGGCGGATGCTGGTCTCAGGGTGGCGAGCTTCTGTCAGTCCTGCTGGAGAGCTCTCTAACCCATTGCCAGCGAGCACTGCAGACCAAGTCTGTGTCCCACGGGCTACTCCACACGGAGACCAACACCAGCTCCTGGACCATGGGAGCAATGAGCACTGGACACTACCCCCAGGGGTCCCAGCCACCAGCAACTCTCAGGGGCTTGCTCAGGTCTGATCCATGTGGACAGACCCTCAGGGTCACCAGACAGACGGCACAGAGGAAACACAGGCACAGCCACGGCAAGAAAGCACTTCCGCACCCCGCTCCCCCACCAGCCCTTGGTACAGGGGCCTGGACACTGGCCAGAACTGGCAAGGCCATGGCCACGTATCCGTGATAGACTCACGTGATGGTGTCAATCATATCCAGGCCCATCTCCACGCAGCAGTGGGCATGGTCAGCCTTGGGCTGTGTGAGGCCAGACACGCAGTAGTAGCAGTCGCCCAGGATCTTGATGCGGCGGCAGTGGTTCTCCTGGGGAGAGAGCAGGCCTGTCAGATGCGCCAGGTCACCCTGGGGCTGCTCCCCTTGAGGTCACGCCTGCATCGGCCTTCTCTGACACCCCCCCAGGGGCCACTCCCAACGAGGCCCCTCCTGCATCGGGCTCCTCTGACCCACCCCTCCTGCATCGGGCTACTCTGACGGTCCCCCCCCCCCGGGCCCCTCCCCTCAAGGCCCACTGGACACAGCCCTGCTGGACTGTGCCGAACATCCCCCCCACCCTCACCAAGGCCCAGCATCGGGGTGTTGCCTGAGCTTGGAGCGGTCAGCCCCAGGACTGGCCCTGGACGCAGCTCACTCACAAGACAAGAGCTGGCCTTGCACGTGGCAGGGGGCCGGCACTGCCCCACGGCATGAACCAGGTCACAGCAGTGACCATCACAGTGACGGTCACTCTCCAGGACACTGTGAAAGCAGCAGTTCTAGAACATTCTGCTCCTGCACCCTCTCAGTCTCAGAATAATAAAGGGCTTTAGCATAAACTTTCCTAAGAGAGAAATCTGTGGATACTTATTATCCGAGCTAAAACTGAAAAAAAAAAAAGTTTCTGTTGTTTTCACAGCCATACCCAGCTGTGCCCCGGGTAACTCCGGGTTCTTCTCTCAGGAATACTTCTTGGGCCTGGGGTGGAGGGGTGGCAGGGTGGCAGGGAGTGCTGGGGACCAAACCTGGGTTGGCTGAATGCAGGACAAGAGCCTACCTGCTGAGTTACCTCTCTGGCTCCTGAAAAATCTTTTTTAAAAATATGTTCGTGTTTAAAGAGATAATGAAAAAATCCATTACACACTGAAGTAAGTAACATGTTAATCTTTTTAAAAATGCTCTGACCTTTCCCCAAAGGTAAAGAATTAGGCGTGTGGCAATTTCCCAGCAGACAGCAGGGTGCTGGGGCCTCCGCTCTCCCGTCCTGCCCCTGTGTGGGGCGCCCGCGCTGGGAAGGCCGCGAGCCCAGACTGGAGCCCACCCACACTCAGAATGCCAGAGAGCGGAATTCAGCGAGGTCTGTGTGGATGGGCAGCTCGTGCAGGATTCGGGAGCAGGGAGGGGCAGGAGCTGGGCGGACACGGCTAGTAGGGCTGGCACTTCTCACGGCGGGAGTTGGGACCTGGAAGCCACTTCCACAGGCCACTTTGGAAACTTCCAGAGGAAACGAAGCTGTCTGAAGAGTAGTGCCTGTGCCTGTGTAGTCATGATAACGCCTTCTCTCACCCGTGAAAGGCTGCAGGAAATGGTCAGACCTCGAAAAGTCCGGGGTACCGGGCCTGTTCCCTGGTGCAGTATGCCTCGGGAGGCCAGGGGAGGACCCCACAGTGGACACCGTGCTGTCCTGCTCGCCACCAGGATTGAAATGATAAAAGTATTTTTATGACCATAATAGAATTAAGATTGAATTTTAAAAAAACTATTTTTTAAAGGTTTTTGGGCCCCACCCAATGATCCTGAACCTGGCTCCTGGCTCTGTGCTCAGGAATCACCCATCGGTGCTGGAGGACCACACAGGGGCTGGGGACTGAGCACAGGTCAGCTGCAGGCACGGCAAGCGCCCTATCTGCTGTACTCTCTCTTCAGCTACCCCCCAAAACTAGATCTTTGATCCTTCCCCCATCCCATGTAAATGGTCCATGGGTTTCAAAACATTTATGGAAATTTAAAAATATTTTGAACTAAAAGTAAACCTACAAGTAAAACTAAAACACAGCATATCAGTTTGAACTAAAACTATCATATCATATCACTAAAACTAGCATATCAATTTGAACTAAAACTAAAACACAGCATATCAGAAATTTTTGGGTGCCGCTAAAGAGGAAATTCACTACATTGAGTACTTAGATGAGAAAAAATATCCCGGGATCTTTTAATTCTACCTTTTGTTTTTAATTCTATCTTTTGAAACTACAAACAGCAGAGCAATCTAAAACCAAAATAAACAGAAGACATAAACCAATAAAAATCAGAAGGGAAATTAATGAAATTTTTAAAACTAATGACACCAAAATCAATTTCTATCAGAAAATCAGTAAAATTGGTAACCCTAATTCAAATGATAAGAAAAAAAGATGACACAGATTGCAAACATCAACAATGATAATAGATAAATACCATGAACAACATTCTAATCATTTTCATAGCTGAGATTAAGTGGGCAGATTCTGTGAAAGATTAAAAAAGTCAAAGCACCAAATTCACTTTAAAAAAAATAAGGAACTTTCGTCTGGACAAAGAGGACATAGGTTAAGGCCCTTGCCTTGCACACGGCCAACTCTGATCCAATCCCTGATGCTGCAGATGGTCCCCTGTACATCACCAGGAGTAATCCCTGAGCACAGAGCTAGAAGTAAGTCCTGAGCACCAGCCCCCAAACCAAATATAAACAAACAGAACATGCAACCTAACTAACCTTAAGAACTTGTCATTAAAGATAACCTTGTCTAAGCTTGTTTAAAGAAACTATAGTTAAAGATTTACACACACACACACACACATACACACACACGAATCTATACCCACAAGACTCACCAATTAGACAGAAATAACCCAAATTCTATATAAACTCTTTCAGAAAATTTAATGGAAGAAAGTGTTCCCGAACTCTCCCATGAGATCAGTGTTAAGAAAAGAAATCCACACACTGGTATGTATCTAACTCCAGCATTAATAGTATTTTAAATCAAGGTGTCAAAGAGTAAGAACCTATACCAACATAAATGCAAAGAATCTAAAAAATATTTTAACAAATCAAAACTAACAACAGATAAAAAGATTACTACCCTGTCCAAGTTGGCTGTATGCCAAGAATTTTAATATTCTTTTAATTTTCTTTTTATTTAATATTATTAATTAATTTAATATTACTTAACTTATTTAATTACTTAACTTATTTAATATTAATATTAAATAAATTTCTTTTTATTCAATATTCTTCCATCAATCTATGTAACTCATGAATTATCAGACTAAAAATGAAAACTCACAATATCCAAATAGACGCAATAAAACATTTGACAAGGGGCCAGGGAAACAGTAGAGTAGGTAAGGCACTTGCCTTCCATGTGGCTGACCTAGGTTCAATCCCTGGCATCCCATACGGTCCCCCAAGACTGTCAGAGTGATTGAGTGCAGAGCCAGGAGTAAGCCCTGAGCACAGCTGGGCCCAAAAGCAAAACAGAAATGGAAAAAAAAATAAGCAAAGCAAAATCCATTTCTGGAAGAAAAAAAACATTTCTCTTGTGAAGTCACAATAAAAATGAAACTCTGAGCATTATGCACAAACCCTACAGCTAACAGAACACAGTGAGTGGTCTCCCTATAAGGCTGAGAATGACAGGAATGCCTGTCCTTGCCACGCCCTGTTCAACATCGCACACATTCAATCAGCGAAATATGGCAAGAAAAATATTAGACATGAGACATCCAGATGGGAAAAAAAGAAGCAAAGCTGTCTTCATTTGCAAACATGTGATGATCTGTGTACAAAATATAGTGGAAATCTACAAAAAATAAATCACCAGAAATAAGTCAGATTAGCAAGACGGCACAACAATATTTTGATGCAAAAACTCAACTGTATTTTGATTCTCTTAATAATGAACAACCAGAAATAAAAATCACCACATTTCAATAGTAAAAATGTCTGAGCCACTTAGGAATGAACATGATAAAAGGTCTGCAATACCTGAACACTGCAAACTATAAGCAATGTAGCACTGTCTTCCCGTTGTTCATCGATTTGCTCAAGCGGGCCCAGTAACGTCTCCATTGTGAGACTTCTTACCGTGTTTGGCATATCGAATATGTCACGGGTAGCTTGCCAGGCTATGTATGCCGTGCGGATGAGATACTCTCGGTAGCTTGCTGGGCTCTCCGAGAGGAGTGGAGGAATCGAACCCGGCTCAGCCGGACCAGCCGCGTTCAAGGCAAACGCCCTACAATGCCAAAATGTATTGAACAAGCTCTAAAGAAATGGAAAAATATGCTGTTCTTGGACAAAAAGGCAATTTTTAACAAATCGTTTATCACCCAAATTGACTATCTGGATGCAACACAATTCCAATCAAAACTGCAGCAACGTACACAAGAGAAGTTGACAAGCAGCGTCTAAAACTCAGGTGGAAATGCAAAGGACCGAGACAGACAAAAGCCATTATATGCAGTAAGCACATTTGAGGTCCCAGCTGGGAATGACCCCAGTGCTGAACCGTTTCCCTCACAACCAAGAAACGGGGAGGCTGCTGTGACCTGGGCTCTGCCACGCCCACCGCCCACCACCCTACCCCTTCACGGCACTCACGGCACACTCAGCCCTGGAGAGCAACAGTTTTTATCCACGGATCACAGTCCTCCCATTATTCACTGATTTGCTCAAGCGGGCCCAGTAACATCTCCATCGTGAGACTTGTTGTTACTGTGTCTGGCATATCGAATACGCCACGGGGAGCTTTCCAGGCTCTGCCGTGCGGGCGAGATACTCTCGGTAGCTTGCCGGGCTCTCCGAGAGGGGCGGAGGAATCGAACGCGGCTCAGCCAGGCCAGCTACACACAAGGCAAAGGCCCTACCGCAGTGCTATCGCTCTAGCTTATTATTATTATTAATATTAATAGTATTAGTTTAAGAGCCACACCTGTTGGTGCTCAGGGTTCTCTCCTGGCTCTGCATTCAGGAATTATTCCTGCGGTGCTTGGGGGGTCATATGGGATGCTGGGGATTGAACACAGATTAGCCTCGTGCAAGGCAAGTGCCCTCCCGGCTGTGCTATTGCTCTGGCCTAACCGGTACTTTTACATCCTGGGACTTAAAACCACCAATCACCTCACATCGTGCAATTGAGCCTCACTACTCCCTCTGGTCCAGCTACGGTGACTGTCCTCTTGGTCCTGGGTGGGCACTGGCTGGCTGGATCCACGTCTTTGTTCACAAGTCCGCAGCAGCCCAGAGACCTTACCAACTCACCCACAGATCTGATACTCCGGGC